CTCTACTGTGGTTGATCCGATATCAATAAATTTTCTCTTTCTATCTGTTCTATCAGTAGAATTTCCTTTGATTGTTGATATTTCATTCTGATTCACACCATTGTTCTATCAATAATCATCGATAGGTTTACCCCGTTGTTTAAGGTTTGCAAGTTCCCCCAGGGGATTAATACTTCGCGGGGGACCAAAGCGAAGGATGCAAGCATTCTTGAATTGGAGCCAGGAGAATTGTTCACCATCTTGTAGACGTTTGGTAAACCACAACTGAGCAATCTCAGTCATCTAGTATGCGGCAGTGTGAGCCTTTTCAGAATCGGAATGAGGAGCTTTCTCAAAAAAAAGTTCATGACGGCGTAGCCAAACGAGTGGATCCTCCGTGCCCGTAAAGGTAGGAAACTCCAGTTTGGTGTATCGGGTCGGAGGGTTAATTTCAGTCTGAACGGCGGTCGAAGAGATAGGTATTGTGTGTGTTGTGGAAGAGGTTACTTGAGCAGTAGAGTTGTTTTTCTCCATGAAAGTTTCCATTACTTTGGCAAGGCTGCCAAAGTTCTTCACAGCATCGGTCAAGGAATTCATAGTAAGGGCGTCAACATTTTGCATTGTGGTGGTGAGATCCTCTTGGAGTTTCTTTAATTCTGCCATGTCGACGACCCGCAACGGAACCAAAATGTTATGTTCCCAGGCTAGATATCGTGTCAACCCGCGGTTGGTGAGGGCAGGGAGATGGAAGTCCTCTATTTTTGTAGGTAATAACGCAAAATAAGGGAAGACAGGGAAGGAGATAAAACTTTAGGAATTTTATGGAGTTCCTTTCTCCTTGATAAGTACTTAATTCTGGCTTGTTTATTATTCAAAGCAGGAGTCCCTACTCCCTACTTATAGTAAGGGTTACAAGAACCACTAAGGAAGGAGAAATTACATTAAATCAATTCTTAAAAAAGACTCATCTAATGATGGAAAGCAATAAAGTTGCAGATCAACTTAACTACGGAGAGTAATTAACTAGTCTAATGATGGAAAGCAATCAAACAATAAATCAGAAATCTGCTGTAAAGGAAATTAATATCCTTCCACAATAAATTGCTTAATGAGCTAAGGATCTGCCACTGATGCAACGGCGCTTATAGGTCTTTCCATTGAATGCATCATAACGGCGACCAATGTTGGTACCCACACTTCCTTTGTCACTCCTGCGACAACACTGTACTCGAGGTCGGGTAAGTCTAACCGAAAGAATCCACCCCGTTTAACAAGGTAATGTGATAAATGTGATATCGTCTTGTTTGGTTCAGGTTGTCATATTATAAGTTGAATTGAGATTACCTCAATTAAAGAAAATGAGGTAACATAATAGCATTGATCTCTTTACCTAGGGTTTCTTAGGTCTTCTAAGTTTACCTTGGTAATATTTTAGACTAGTCCAACTTTGTCTCTAACAAACTAACATTTTAATGAACTACATAAACACAAATTCAATGAACAAAGCAGATTAAGGTAAACTAACAATTTAATAAGCTACATAAACACACATTCAATGAAGAAAACAGATTAAGGTAACCTTATATTCCTGTAATCATGCATTATCTTCTGAATGGTAATCCGATTATTATCTAAGGTAATCATACATTCTTTGAACCAAACGCCTCTGATAGGATTCTAGGCTGAAGAAAATAATAATAAGAATATTATAATAATATTAAATAATTGTAATAGTATATTAGAGGTCCTGGGCCAGGTATTAGTTAACTTTGGGCTGGCCCATAAGTGAGAGTATAAATAGAAGGGAGGGGAAAAGAATAAGGTAGGCAGAACTTGGATTGGACTGGGACTTGGGAGAGACGAGGCACTCTCGAATTTGCTCTCATCTGTATCGCCAGATTTTTGCTTGTACCTAACAATGGTATCAGAGCAGTCGACCCAGGGAATCTTCGATCTACATTCACGTGATAAACAAATGGAGCAGCGCAGGAAACACGAGGTGGAGAAACGCGAACATGATGATCAGAAAGTAGTCGCATCTGGTTTGCGCGCGAACAGGGAGAAGCGCTCTGGTTTGCGCAAAGAAGATCGACGGTCAAAACTGGCCGCCTCTGATTCAGGCGGACAACTGGAGAAGCAATAGAACAGTGAGAAACGCACCAGCAAGGAAAAGGAACGTGCGGACATGGAGAAGCGCGAGATGCGCGGGTCTCCCCAAAAGGGGAAGGAACCACATCGAAGATCCGATTATGGTGCTTCGCGCGGAAAAGAGGAGAAGCCGACGGAAAAGGGTGAAAGTGATTGGGCTAAGGAGATGTGCCATATGTTGGGCAAAATTCGACACAGACTCAAGCGACATAGATACAAAGCGAGGAGCCCTCCAAGATGCCGTCGGCCAATTTATTCCAGTTCGCAATCGCTAACTTCACTTCCCAGTTCGTTTACTTCATCTCTAGCTTCAACCAGTTTGCAATCGCTAACCACTACGTCGCGATCTGTTTCTCCTCGCTTATCTTCATCGCCAGCAGCTTCATCAGATCTCCCGGCTTTGCAGGAAACAGGTCCGGATGATGATGCCACTCAAACTATCGGATATCCGCAACATGATCTGGAAAAATTGAAACTGCCTGAAGTGGATGAAAATGCACTTCCTTCGGGAAAAGTGGAAGAGCAACTGTCAAGGCAACTGGAGGATCAGTTAAAAGTCACAACTACTACAGATGAGGCGAAGAGGGAGTCTGCTGTGATCGCAACAAAAGAGAAAGTACTAAAGAGGTTTCAGTGGGGGAAGGAGGCAGTTAACAGGACTCAACCAGAATGGGTTCAAAATTCATTTGCACTAAAGTTTAGCATTGAACGGGTAGGCATAGTATTGAAATTCCGAGATGAAGACAAGAGGGGATGGAAGGAAAAAGGGGGCTCTATGTACAAACCTCAGCATGGTGTGGAAGGATTGAAAGGAAAGGCACTTACCAGTAAGGTTGGAGTAGGTACAAATCGTCAAGTCTTGCTTTTATGCTGTTGGTATGGTTTCCAGGTTTGGAATGTGGAAGAACATGGTGGTGTTCAAAATTCAGTTTCCAAGCAGGATGATATTGTTTGATTCATGAAAAGCTCACCCAATCCAATTTTGTCAAAGCAAAATATGCATGAAATTGCTAATAGTTGGCCATTGTTGATAATATGTGCTGATGTTCGAATTATGGGTTGGTTCTATTGCTTGAGATTTCACTCGTATGTACATCAGGTGAAGTTCATATCAGTTGTTCATTCTGTTAGATGCAGTTCTAGAGTTGTTAATGTCCTACCAGCAACTCCGATACACTGTGGTAATGCTGCAGTTTTAGAGATGGATGAGGTGAGGTATTCTTTAGGAGTAATTTCTGAGGAAATTAAATGGCACTGGGATGAAAATGTTCTCAATATCAAGGTTGGGACCAACGGTGTTACAGGACTATCAATTGTGCCGAAAGGAGGCAGGGTTAACATGGTTTATAATCATGAAGTGGATGCTGTACTTGCAACAACAGACGGGTCTCTTGTCAAATATCAAATAGAGGGATGCCAGCACTTGGCTGTGGAATCTCCAGGAGTGCATGAACTAAAATTTCAGAGATCTGTTTTATCAAGTGAAGGAGCAGTTCAGGGAGTGAGGTGTGACCATGCCAAAGCATTATCATGGTTTTGTAAGGCTGTTGATCTGGGCGAGGCAAGGGAAATTCTTGGAGAAATATATGTAAGAGGATCAGGGGTTGGGAGGAGTTACCCAAAGGCAATAGAGTCCGCTTATGATACTATAGAATTCTTTTACATGAAGGGTTATGGGGTGAAGAAGAACTATATCTTGGTAAAAGAGAATTTTGACAAAGATACTGATAATGATGAGTCTGCTTGGTTCTACAACGTTGGGGTTATGTATCTGAAAGAGCTTGGGGTTAAAAGGGAAGTGAAGCTGGCCGACAAGTATTTTATAGAAGATGAAGCAGATAATTTGTGGTGGCAAGTTTCTGTGCAGGGCAATGAACACGCTGCTCCACCCATTGGAGATGGATATTATTATGGTCAGGAACTCAGGATACTGACCGAGGTTATGAACGTGCAGCAAAAGCTTATAAGCATATCAAATCACAAGACAATGCTCAAGCCTTGTTTAAACCTGAGATACATGCATGAGCAGGGCCAAGGATTGCCGTTTCAGCATTTCTACCATCAAGCTTTTCAGGGTGGGAATGAGGCAACATGGTTTTCGTCTCTAACTTTGGCGAAAAGCAGTGTTTTCGGTGGACTCTTACTTGAATTATTGCTTTATGTGTTGGAATGTAGTTGCCGAGCTGCAATTTTTGTAACCATGGGTTCAAATTCTGATATTCCTAAGATCCCCTGGACACACGTAATGCAGGCTGAAATCTATAGGGAAGAGACACAGTTGCTGGGGAATTCAAACTTTTGCAACCTAAGGGAGCACACTGTTATCAGGACTTTGTTTCTACTTGCTTTTGAAGGGAAGAACACTAAGATGCAGCTCCAAGTATTGAAGTTAGAGGTCTAGAAAACCAGGATGTATTGGGAAGGAAAAGGCGCAAGGATGAAGATGAAGCGGAAGGTCAAGGCTGTTTCCTATCACCCACCTTGAGGACAAGGTGGTTGTTCAAGGGGGGAGATATGATAGGATTCTAGGCTGAAGAAAATAATAATAAGAATATTATAATAATATTAAATAATTGTAATAGTATATTAGAGGTCCTGGGCCAGGTATTAGTTAACTTTGGGCTGGCCCATAAGTGAGAGTATAAATAGAAGGGAGGGGAAAAGAATAAGGTAGGCAGAACTTGGATTGGACTGGGACTTGGGAGAGACGAGGCACTCTCGAATTTGCTCTCATCTGTATCGTTACTTTCTATTTCTTCAATTTCAGTTTCGTAATCAACAATTCATCGCCAGATTTTTGCTTGTACCTAACAGCCTCCTATTTATTATGCAAGGCATGACAAAAACCAACATATGAAAACTGAAATATATACCTTGACATTCCAATCATTATCTACCAATAGATTCGGGGACTTCAGATCACGATGAACAATAGTTGGTGTGCTTGTATGCAAGCAATTCATGCCCATTGCCTGCATAGAAAGCATCTAATTTTAAAGAACTGAAGAAGGCCAGCCAACAGAATTATAGCAGACTGAAAGTCTGAAACTTGGAAAGAGATTGGTCAGGACAATAATCTTATACCACATCAAGAGCCATTTTGATTCTGCGCTTCTCATCTATTTGAGAGTGAGGACGATGAATTATCCGGAACAAGCTTCCACTGGAAAAGAAATATAATGATACCAACCCGAGTTAGTGATCTCTGTTAAGCAGTATTATAAACACACAATACCCCCTTGTCCCAAAATAAAGCCTTGGTTCACAAATGTACAGCTTTTTATTTTGTAAGGTACAACTGTAATAAATTATGAAGCATAATTATATGCAACTTATTTGTTGGTTTAACTAAATTTGTTAATGCAACTTATTTGTGACTCTGTCATGGCTTTTTGTCAATAACTTGAGCATCATGATGAAATGCAATAAAAGCCACCATTCCAAAGGCGAATTTAGGTTTAAATTTAGAGCATATCAGGAGAGTCATGTGAGCATCATGATAAATATGCATTAAAAGCCAACATTCAAAAGCGTAGTTTAGGTTTCAAGTTATAGTGAGTTTCTGAGGAATAGGTAACAACATTCAACATTTCCAAGGATATCATTCGAATACAAAACTCTACTAAAGCACATTGCGCATAAAAGTGAAAATACCGAGGAAGAAACTCAGTGATGATCGAAAGATTTGGAGGTCTGGTTACTGCACCCATGAAAAGAACTACATTTGGATGTCTTAGACGTTGCATTATCCGCACCTGTCATTAAAATGGTCTTAAATTAAGAACTAGATTCTAATAGTTTTTTAAGAGAGGAAAAGAAAGATTAGACATGACAATAAGTAAATAATGAAGAGCAGTATCTTTTAAGGTCAGTTTGAGATTTGGGTTTTGGATGGGAAGGATTTGGAGGGTAAAGTGTATATTTTGATATATGTTTGAGATTTTACTCGGTAGAAGAAATAAGTAATAAGATAATAGCATATGATAATACAATAATCACCCTTCAATTTACAAAAATCGAATTAAGCCCCCCCCCTCCCCCCCCCCCCTCCCCGGGGGGGGGGGGCAATAGCCTCCGCCCAAAGATGGTCATATGATATATTTGAATTGTATGAAGAAGAAAAATATGCTGGAAGGAAGACAAAAGCAGGCAGACAGGAGCCCCATACTTCTCTTTTAAACTCAGCCAAAGCAGCACCCGAGAAATCCTGGTCAAGGAACTTCTTGACAGCAACCTCCTATTGTTTTAAACAACCCAGAATAAGAAACGATAAGCAAAGTATTATAATTATGAGGTTTTCAGTATGAGATGAATCACATCATGTAATAAGAATCCCAAAACCTAAATATATACTTTTCAATTTTCATATATAAATCTTACAGTGCCATTCCAATCAGCGCGGTATACCTCTCCATATGAACCTGAATACATATAGGGCAAATACATAAAAATATTGATTGAGCAGTCTAATAAAGTAATCATGCCAATAGATAAACACTGAAACAGGTATTTCCAAAAGAAACAATAGTAGATCATTCAAACTTTTTTTGTAGGCATGATGCTTGTTGCACCCAAAATCAGCAATAGTACATTCAAGTCATGTAAAACTATATGCTCTAACCCTATCTGTGTAGAATTTGTAAAGGAAAAAGGTACATTAATCATGTCATCTTTGCCACTGTGTGAACTGAAAAGTGGCTTTATCCCATCTCTTCCTGTTCTGAACAATATGAGAACACAAAAAGAAAGAGGCACAAAAAAGATGGGAGTTACACGAAATACTTAAACTGAACATTGAAAACGGATTCAGTGGTGATGGACTTCTCAAAGCTACCAGGAAGCATGCTGCTTTATTTTCACCCACAAAAAACACTTCTACCCAGAGAAAAAACCATTATGCAGATCACATTGATTATTCATAATACAAGTACATAGTCTAACATTGCTAAAGTTCCACTGCAGATCTTAGTCCATTTATGAAGATGGTGGAAAGCACCCATTCGCTCATTCCAGGTATAAAAAAGTTACCTAGTCCAATCCTTTCGCCAAGAACAAGATCACATTGATTATTCATAATACAAGTACATAGTCTAACATTGCTAAAGTTCCACTGCAGACCTTAGTCCATTTATGAAGATGGTGGAAAGCACCCATTTGCTCATTCCAGGTATAAAAAAGTTACCTAGTCCAATCCTTTCGCCAAGAACAAGATCTTCCCATGGAATTTCACATTCATTCACATCATCCAATACTTGATTAATCTGGGATAAGCTTAATCCTGTTGAAGTGTTTGAGTGTACTGGCTCCTTAAATTTCAAATCTGTTCCAGTGAACTTATGTTGGGTGATCTTTCTGCTGTTATTCTGCAGAGTGACTTCCTGAAAATGAGCTCTGGTTGTGTCTGCATCATTACTTTCCAGGAGGTCCCCATCCATTTGATATGGTTGCTCAAGATCACTTCTCTGGTTGTTTTCAACAGAAGACTTCCTAAATTCAAAATGAGTTGCCAACATCGGAGGGGTATCAAATAAAACTTTCTGCTGTACAGCTGAGGTGGAAGAAGCCACTGTTGATGCATTATAATTGTTTGCATCAAGTTTGATCTTTGGCAAAACATCTGGAACTTCATTGCATGCATAGCGATTTTTCCAATTCATAGGGACAGGAGGCTTGCCTGCGACATTTTTTGAAAACTGCACCCGACTGCCTGCGGTTCTAGAAGGGTTATTCTGAACCACGCCAGACCCTTTTATTTGAAAGGGGTTGAGATCAGCAAAAAGATTTTTTGGGTCATCACTATGTGGAACATTCACATTCACCCTTGAACCGTCACTAGCAACATTAGGTCCACGACCTCCCTTGTATAGGGACTTCCCAATCACCAATGATGTGATTTGATCCAACTGGTGAGAAGGAGAACCTTTACTACTTAATCCTGGTGAACCTGCACCAACACTTGCCTCGGAAAACAATGGATTTGATTCTGGCCTTACTGGTCTCGTGACAGTTAAAATATCATGTCCAGTAGCATATTTTCTATCATCCAAGGAGTCGAGCCTGGAGCCACTGGTTGAGCGGGCATTGGGAAGCTTATTATATGGCTTGAAACAAGTATCCTTTGCACCTAGAACTTCAGCTGGTATAAGTGTCCCGGGTGCACCCATGAGATCAACCAAAAACTCACTGGCAAAGAACAAATATAGATGATGTGCAGAACAACAACATAATATAGTATACATACAACAATAAAGTATATACCTTCAAATGATAACATGTTGGTATGCATGTGAGTTTACTCCCTCCACAAATTTATCTTCCTACTTTTCATTACGGTCCATCCCATAATAATCATTATGTTTCCTTTCAAATAAGGAAAGAATTGTGTGGCTGACATTGCTTTTCCCTTTCTAAATAAATCCCAACCACAAAATTTTATCTTAATAGGCACACCAAATTAAAACATGAGGATTAACTTGGGAAAGAGGGAGCATATCATTCAGGTGTGTAGACAACTAATATGCATCTCCTGAAAATTTAAATGAATGGCTGCAAACAATATAGCATTCCTGTGTAGTAAACAATCTCTAAGCAAAGTGACGAACAGGAAGTACTAAACACTACATTTAAATCCTACATGTAAACCCAATCAAGTCGGATTATTAAAAAGTAGTGCTTGATATAAAATAGGAAGATCAAAGGTAAGGAAAACAGTAGGACATGAAAGAAACAGAGGATAAAATGAAAAGACTATTGGGATGGTAACAGAAATGGCAAATTGGCAATTCGGAACTTGAGCATGTAATTTGCAAACTACCTCCCATTTGGTAGCTTTATTATGTTGATAGCATCATCCTCAACACCTGTGTAACCTTTAACTAGTCTACAAGGAATCCCAACATGGTCAGCCAAAACCTGCGGTAAAAAAGAAAGCAAAGCATTTAAAATGAAAAACAGGTTGTAATATGATAGGGGGCCCAACACTTCTCTTATTAAGTAGCTTAATAGCGTACAATAAGAGGGTTTTAGGCCCAGTAAATTAGTGGATGAGGGGTAGGCAGACTTTTGGGATCAGACTGGGAACTGGTGTGAGAATACTCAAAGTGTCTCACTTGTATTTTCTGTTTCTGGTTCTTCTCTTTCTTGTACGCTAGGCTAGGGTTTCTGCCATTGTATTTGCTTCAGGAATTCAGAGGTTTTATCTTTTGTCCTACTTAATACACATAAACTGTAGGGTCTCTATCATTGGTATCGGAGCACCATTCCTGGGGTTCGGTGGATGCCAGTTACACGAATGTAGATGGAAAATCGAGTGGGCAAGGTGGAATGGAACCTAGAAGAGATGCGAGCGGATATGGATGGAATACGATCGGAGATGCAAAGATGCATCAGCTCTTACTCAACCTAGGTCATAGGCGGTCCAGGGGGCGATCGCGACACTCGCAGAAGCAATTGCCGTCGGACAGGAGTTGGTCACACTCCAGTGGTAAGTCTCATAGCTCTGTAGCTTTGTCGAACTCCAGAGGTAAATCTGATACCTCGCGATCCATCTCTTTTCGGCGCGAAACCAGTGCGAACAGAATGTTCGTTTGAACTGGAAGGAGGATTGATCTTCCGTTATTTAATGGCGAGGATGCTTATGGGTGGACCATCAGGGTAGAAAGGTTTTTCAAGTTGAATAACATACTAGAAGAAGATAAGGTTGAGTTGGTAACCATTGCCATGGAGGACAAAGCATTATTCCGGTACCAATGGTGGGAGGGATAAAATGATGAACGGACCTGGAAACAGTTCAAAGCAGCCTTAATCAGATGGTTCCAACCGGAACTAGTTCAAAATCCATTTGGAACTATGCTCAGCGTCAAGCAAACTGAAAGTGCAATAGATTGTAGGGGGAGATTTGAAGTGGTAGTCACACCGCTGAGGCACACTGATACAGAGATGCTGCAGGCAATTTTTCTGAATGGCTTGAAGGATGAGGTGAGAGCTGAACTGAAACTTTATCTATCCGCTTCTCTATCTGAATTAATGGATCGAGCTCTGCTGTTAGAAAAGATAAACACGGCTATGAGATCAGGGATACATAAGGAAGAAGACAAAAAGTGATGGAAAGAACAGAGAGGGACTATGGTCAGGCGAGGCGTTTGAACTGGGTGGAGGCAGCAAAGGGAAGAACACCACCTATTCAAAAAACACATTCAGAGAACAAGCAGACTCTTTGAGAGAGCACATTCAGAGAACAAGCTGGAGGAATCACCAAAACCGAATAATGCATGGGAGGGAGGCCAAAGGTTGACACAAGCAGAGTTAACAGAAAGAAGTAAAAAAGGCATATACTTCAAATGTGGAAACAAATGGAGCAAAGAGCATGTTTGTGGAATGAAACATTATCAATTTGTGTTGATGGAAGAGCTAGAAGAAGAGAAGGGAACAAGTGATCAGCAGTCCGAACTGGACGTAGCAGATAACCCACTGAAACCTAATGTCAGATCAGTTTCTTACTACCCACCTTGAGGACAAGGTGATAGTTAAAGGGGAGAGCGATGACCAGGACCCGACACTTCTCTTGTTAAGTAGCTTAACAGTGTATAATAAGAGAATTTTAGGCCCAATAAATTAGTGGATGAGGGCCGGCCGAATAGGAGTGTATTATAATAAGCACAGTCAAGGGGAAAATGGGTAGGCAGACTTTTGGGATCGGACTGGGAATTGGGAGTGCGAGACGACTCGAAGTGTCTCACTTGTATTTTCTGTTTCTGTTTCTTCTCTTTCTTGTACGCTAGGCTACGGTTTCTGCCATTGTATTCGCCTCAGGAATTCAAAGGTTTTCTCTGTTTTCTCTACTTCATATATATAAACTGTAGGATATCTATCATAATATGGGACCAGTTTGTATGCATTAACCTTTGGGGATAAATCACAGATACAGTTAACCGAAGAACCAGCCTGAATTTGGTTGTCACTTCTCATTGAGGACCAAACTTGAAATCTATGTAAATGTGGGGAGCAACATAGAACAATTGGCATTAAGAGCCCATTTGGTAATACCCAAATCGGCTGTATTGGCTAATTCTGCTGAAATTTATGAAGTTCTGGCTGAAATGGTTGTATTGACCGATTTGTGAAGAAGACAAAATTAAAATATATTTTAATAATAAAATAAAGAAAAAATTATATGAAAAAAAAGCTAAAACAGTCCTCTACAGTAACTACAGTAACTTCAGCCAATACAGCCAGAAGAGTAACTCCAACCTTACTTTTTCTTATTATTACACAATTCAGCGCGCGAAATCAAAAGTTACATGTTTGATGGAAAAGTTGGCTGATAAGCCTGATAAGCCAAAAATCAAGGTTACCAAACGGGCTCTAAAACTTGAACTGGCTATTTAATAAAATATCTCCATCATATTTTTGTTGTTCGCTTTAAATACGCTATATGTATATAAATGGTCGTGTGTGCTTCTAGCATCCCAATTCATGCATTAACAACAATTTGTTCAGTAGTTCAAAACTTTCTTATATATACTCTTGCACACATAGTTGTTACGGCGGGGTTTTGCGGCGCGGCGCCTTTGGACTGCCATACCGCCATGGCGATATGGCGCCCGTCGTGGCGGAGTCGCGGCGATAAGTCGACATATACATTAATAAATTCATAATATGTTTTACATACTAAAAAGCCTACATGCAACACTTATACCCAACAATACTAATGAAGTAAATGAAGTAATAAAACATGTAATCATAGAAATAACATAATCCATATGACCATAACCATAAGCCTATAGTTCATCAAAACAACCACAAACATTATCCATAATCCAAAAACTAGAAAATAGAAATAAGTCAATAACATAATCCAACACAAAAAGACTTAAACATCATCAAGGAAATCGTCAAATCTAGAGTCAGCTTGGTTGTTATGAATGATATCCATGGCATCCTGATCCTCATCATCGACGTCTAAATTATCATTTGGAAATGGTTCACTCTCTTGACCATTCTCTTCAACATCTGTATCATCATTACGACGTCGAGAATAAACTCTAACTGAACTTGAAGGTTCACCACCATCACCTCTCCTAGGATTACGGCGATCTAGATTTCTTGAAGCACCAAGAGCTTCATCAACTTCATCCCATAAAAGATCACCCCCATGGTGAACTACTTGACTACCAGAATCATCAACCCACTCATTATCCCAAGAAAACTCTTCTAAAACCAAAGGGTTGAAACTACTTCCTTCTTCACGCCTCTTTTTGAACCTGCTGACAATCTTCCTATTGTACTGAATGAACACCAAATCATTCAGTCTCTTATGCTCCAACCTATTTCTTTTCTTGGTGTGGATCTAAATAAATAAATAAATAAAATTATTATCATTTGAAGTAAGTAGTTAAAAACCTATAGACTTCAAAAGGATGGCGTAACTTACAAATTCAAACGTACTCCAATTGCGTTCGCAACCCGAAGAAGAACAACAAAGGCCTATTATGCGTAATGCAAGTGATTGTAGCTCCAAAGCATGGCCACCAAAAGCATTCCACCAATCGACTAATAAGTAATAAAAATCACAAGTGTTTTAAGAATTCATATTTTATAAGTAAAAAAAAATTAAAATAAATACTATTATTTTAGTAACAACTAACAAGGTATGACTTACGAGGCGCCTTGGTTTTTTTATGTTTGATTGGCAATGGCTTTGCAAATCCTCCTCGCAAGAAATCATAATCATCAACTTGTTTGCTAATCTTGCACTCCAACTCATCATCACCAATCATCTTGTAAACCACATCATTGAACAACGCTCGTTGCTCATAAGCATATGCAGTATCAGTCCTCTTCAAGTCAAAATACTTAGATGGGTTGAGAAATAAAGCAGCCCCATACAACTTTACTTCCATTTGATCTGCCCAATGATCCTCAAAAATCTTCATTAGCTTTTTCAACACTCTGGGCCTACCTGCAAACGACTCATTTATTTTTTTCTTAGCTTCTCTCATAGCCATGGCAAGCTCAGGCATAGTCGGGTGCTCATCCCCATCAACTATCCTTGGAACAACAAGAAGTGGATGACATGCTCTCAAGGTATCCTCCACCCCATTCCAAAATTTAGTAGCAAGAATAGTGTCACATACCCTTTGCCCCACTGCTGTACTTGACAACTTCGAATTATTCCAATCTTGACTCACAAACAAGTTCCTCAAAGGTTCTCTATACTTGCACAAACTTTGCAAAGTGAGAAATGCTGTGGCAAACCGTGTAACACCAGCCCTCACTAGATCTCTTCCACCAGTTCTCTCCCGCATTGCGCTTAGAATCCTTGTGTGCCTATAAATAAAAGTGGTGCAACGTCTTGCACTATCAATCCAGGGCTTAAACTCAACGAGTTTCCCAATATCCTCCATCATAAGATCTAGGCAGTGAGCCGCACAAGGAGTCCAAGAAAGTGTGGGTATACGCTGCTCCAATAGCTTCCCAGCGGCTTTGTAGTTTGCTCCATTATCGGTCACTACTTGAATGACATTCTCTTTGTCAATCTTTTGAATCTGTTTCTCAAGCAATGATGCTAACAGACTTGCATCTTGTGACTCATGCGAAGCATCAATCGACTCTAAGAAGAAAGTCCCTTCTGGACTATTAACAAGAAAATTTACCAAGTGTCGACTCCTTTTATCGGACCATCCATCCGACATGAGTGTACATCCATATTGCTTCCAAGCAATTTCATGTTTCTCCTTCAACTTTTCTGTATCCTTCACAACTTCCTCCAGAAGAGGCACCCTTAATTCATGATAACTCGGAGGTTTCAGTCCGGGGCCAAACTGCCCGATTGACTCAATCATAATTTCATAGCTTCTTGAGTTTGCAGCATTGAACGGTATGCCATTCTCATAGAAAAAATCAGCAATGTGCCCATGAACTTTCTTGACCTCTTCTTTGGATCTAGTACAACCCTCAAGAGTCTGTTGACTCTTCCCCTGAGAATGCCTTTCTTCTATCACTTCTTCAGGTGACTTTCTAATCATTGAAGCAACAGAATTAGTTGGTTTACCTGATTTTGGTAGTGAATGCTGAAATTTTAGAGTGGACTGCGCTACACGCTTCCTTTTTATGGCTGTTCCAGAACTAGGAACTGGATGGATAGAAGAAGCACGAGATGATACTTGTGTCACAGGATCCTCGTCTAATTCATCATCTTCATCATCCTATTCAACAGGCACTTGCATTTTATTCTTCATTTTGCTCTTCATATAATTGCCTATCTTAGTTCTTATTTCTGCAGTTGTCTTTGTGCATTTTTCAACATCCCCGTAACCGCCAACTAAGTGTTGCTTCAACCGTTTAACTCCGGAATGCACTTGTCTTCCACAAAGTGCGCATTCTACCAAGTCCCGGTTATTCTTGTCCGGCCAAAAACCAAATTCCCATCCGGGATCATCCGATTTGGGTTTTCTGCTTGGATCTTTTGATGGATCATAAGTTTCCGGATCAGCCATGGTAAGCACTGTTTAAAAAATTTATTAAATGTAAAACTAAATAACAAAAATTTCACATTTAATGTTAAAAAATATATATATTAAATGTAATACAACACCGTCACACAACATAAATTTCAGCTTCAATTGAAGACACTGAAAAAAATTAGGAAATATAAAATTTAAAAAAAAACTACTGAAATTTATTCATTATTTGGGAAAAACTGAAATTTGTTTTCACAAATATACAATACTGACTTTTCAAAAGCTTTTTGACTTTCTGTAAAACATTATAAAGTTCATCACAACATTAAATACAACATTAAGTTCAAAGCATTCAACAAAATATTTAATACAATTTTTTTTGAAAAATATTAAATACAAAGTTTTTTTTGAAAACATTAAATACAAAGCTACTCACTGGATGATTTTAAACCCACGTAATTAACGAAGTTAGATGATTTTAAACCAAGTACCCAACTGGAGCAATAAGTCTAATAATTAAAATAAAAACACGAATCAAATACCCACTAAAGTTAAAAGTCTAGAAATAAACTGAAGAAGTAAAGCTGCGGACGATTGAAGCGACTAAGAGAGGCTCGCCATTAAAGACGGAAATACCTTGCGGACGATTGAAGACGGAAGGGAAGTAGTAGCGTGCGGACTGCGGGAGATGGATTGAGCGCAGATGGGACTCTGCGTTTAGACTACGGGAGATGGATTGAGCGCAGATAGGTCTGGTTTTTTTTTTGATGGGTTCAAAAAATTGGGTTTGTTTTTGGGCCTTTTCAAATAATTATGTCCTGCGTCCAGTTCATATAAGTCGTCGACTAGGCGTCTATGGCGTTTTACCGACGCCACAAAGACGCTACTTCGACGCCACAAGGTTTATGGCGTGTCGACAGCATATGTCGATCCTCTCTTACCGCCTGGACGATTTGGCGACGATAAGGCGACGCCATGGCGACGCCATGACAACTATGCTTGCACAGAACCTTTTGATGATACAAAAATGAGTCCACCAATAAAGTGAAATAGCGCTAGCTTTAATGGAAGTATAGTACTCACCTTGAACAGCAACGCACGATGACGTGACAACCCGATATTTAAGGATCCTATAGGCAGCACACTGGTGTGAAGAGAAGTTCTCAATTCCATACTTCTTTCCATCCATCTAGTTAGTATGATATTTGCATCCTTCACCTGCCCACCCAATTGTTCTATTACAAGTTCAGCAAGTCTCTGAACTAGCAGACCAATCTGATCTGTGGGGGAATCTAATGCTATGCAATGTGCAATCTGTATAAGCTCCTCCAATGATGGGTCAATTTTCTGATTCACTATCACAACTTCAAAGTCAGAACTTCCACCATTCGTTTCAAGTTCAGAAAGAGACGGCATTTTCCCCCGACTTGCAGGACTTGTGAAGAGGCTATATACATCATAGAAACCATCAACAACTTTTTCCTCATAGTCAAGAATGCTGTAATCCTAATGAATAAAAAAAACGACGTTGTAAAGAAATGGCTAGGGATACAAATAACCAAGGCATATCATCCAGCAAACAATCACTGACAAACTTCAAAAAAAAGGAAACAATGTGGAAGTTTCGTTACGTGTAGCAATGCGGAGGTGAGGAGGCAGTATATCTGTTTGTTTATTATCTTTTCTTGTTATAATATAAATTTCAGGGTGGAAATGAATTTCTACTAATTAAGGATATGAAATCTAGTACTCACCCAATAGTGACTCGACAGAAAGTCAGCAGCAGCTTCCTCCCTATCACGAGCAGATTCAGCACTATATCTCCCTCCACCGAGGATCTGACCTTTGCCGGAGTCAAAGGAAGGCTCCTCAGCGTGGGATGAGGAAACACTGAGTGCTAAGGCAAGCTGTATCTGGTAATCCTCTTCGGAGGCATAGTAGTCATGTTGCGGATTGATAGCAGGCGCTCCTGCAGCGGCAACTGGCGCGGCGGCAGCTGAAGTAGATGAGGCAGTCGAAGGACTCTGCGGATGCTGAGAGGTGCTAGATTCGCGCTGATGGGCAGACGGTGGGGAAGATGATGAGGTGAGCACGGTAGAGGAAGACGAAGGCTGAGGAGACTCGTTCGATCGGTTGGGGTGGTGAGGCTTCTTCTTGAAGATGTTCTTCATAGATGACCGGTCTCTGGGAATCACAGATCAGTACAGTAGAATGAATTTATTTAGGAAAATGGTCGCACAGAGGAAATAACTACCTGGGCTCTGGGACTCACATGTGAGAATCAAATTTCAGAGTTCGTATATGGTACCACCGGTCCAATAACAGGCTCAACGGAAAAATAGGGAAAATATTCGGTGGCAGTTTTGTAATTGATGTAAAAATCGTGGTTTCTGCTAAATGAGTATCGGTGTACAGTTAATGAGCAATAGTCCAATTTTAATGAGTATTAAGCGTACAATAATGAGCACCATGTTAGTACAAGAAAGCTGATATCACAACTAAAAACAGTGGCATTTTCGTAATTTTAGTGAAAATTTCGTTTTTCGTTAGATGAACATTAATACATTTTCAATGAGCATCAAATGTATTGTATTGAGCATTAAAAGGCAAATAATGAGTGATGTAATATCAACTTCATACATTGTAATTAACATTTTTTCCTTACCTTTTCTTTTATAAAAACTCATTAAATTATATCTATAATCAATTCTTATGAATTTTAATATGCGAATCTAATGTAATATGATACTTTTGAAACGTACATTGTTATGACATTTTAAAAATGAGCACATCAGTACCAAATGAGCATACGTAACATGCAAATGAACATTGATATGAATATGACATTTTAAAATGCGTATTACATTAATACCAAATGAGCATAAATACCAAATGAGCAACGAAAATTCGTGTTTTTCATTTAGAATCTCTAGTATGCTCAATTTTTCATTTATGTACATCATTTTATTCTCTAGTATGCTCAAGTTTTCATTTGTGTATGCTCATTTGAATTTCCCTACGAAAAATTCAAAAAACTCATTTAGAATCTTTAATATGCTCAATTTTTCATTTCTGTACATCATTTGAATTCTCTAGTATGCTCAAGTTTGCATTTGTGTATGCTCGTTTGAATTTCCCAACGTGCTCAAAATTATCATTTATGTAAGTTCATTTCTTTTATTCATTATGCACATTTATTATAAACACTTTACTCATTACCAATATAACACAAAATTTATGTTAGCAATTAACAAACTCAAAATATTAATACACAATATTAAAATACAATTTAAAAATACATTCAAAAAGGTGATAGTGGGGTTTGACTATTTGAGAACTTTATATGCCCACTTTCTCTCCAACGTACGAAGGATTAAAATCGGCTTCTCCATCATCGACCTCAGCGATTCTCCCGGCCGCGAGCACCTCCTTCGTCGATTAACGAGCAGCGAGCAACACGTCCATCGTCTCCACCGAACAATCTGCAGATCCCTTCTAGCCCAATGGTTCAAGCACAACATGGAAGAAGGTTTGCCACTAGATCTGTAACTAATTGCAAAAAAACCCGGCTGTACCATGCCCTAGGTACAGCCGGTTGTACGATAGTATTTTTGCAAATTTCACGCCAATTTATAAAGGAGTGTTTGGGTTTGTTAAAAAAAGCGCTTTTCAGCTTTTTGGCTTAAAAAATTTGAAAAAAGTGTTTTCAAATGACAGCTTCTGCTTAAATTAATCACTTGAAAGCTAAAAGCTGGAAGCAGGTAGAAGAGTGCTTTAAACTGCTTCTCACTTTTTCTATTACACAAAAAGTACTTATTTTACCAAACACTACCCACTTTTACTTTTCCAGAATCACTTTTTTCTCAAAAACTACCAACTTTTATTATTAATCACTTTTCCCAAAATCATTTTAAAAAATCACTTTTTTAAAGTTGAAGTAATTGCAAACTTATTAATTAAAGTCTTACTTTTATTAGTATCCATCAGTTTTTTCTAATTCTTCTTTTTTGCAAACAATTATGATTTAAAAAGACAAAAAATTTCATGTAAAAATAAATAAATTTGGAGTTTATTTTGTTGTTGTCGTTTCTTTAGGCCTATTTTTTTAAAAAAATGAATTATGTAATAAACAAATTAACCATGAGAGCTTAATTTTAAAACTTGAAAGAAAAAATTATAGGTTAGATAATCTCTAGTAGATGAAATTTCATGTTTTTTGTCTAAATTTTATATATTTAATATTGATGTCATATGAAAGATCATAACAAATTTTGAATTTTGGTATAATTTTTGTAAAAATTGAGATACAAATAAAAATGTTACTCCATATAAGACAAAAAAATAGGGATTTATATATATTATGGGACCCAGTTTTTTCCTTTGATGCAATACCTTTTGGGACTAAGGCTAAAATGTTATCGATTCATGTTAGCCGACTCTGATATCTTTTGGGACTAAGCCTTGGATGTTGTTGTTGTTGTATGCAATGCCAATTGCACCTTCCCTGTTCCCGATGCCCAACAAAAAGCAGAGTTAATAAACCCAATTAATTCTCAACCATGGGGTGTCGGCCATGTACTCACATTGGCACCTCTAAATACATGGGTTGTAAAGTTTCTTGGGGTGAAAAGCTCATGTATGACTCTTTCGCCCATGGATTGCAGCTAGCCTTACCGACTCTTACATAGTTATATCCACTGATCCACCTTTTGCTACTTTTACTCACTCCTTAGAATCTTTTCTTTTGGATTGCTTTCAGTTTCAGACCAGACCAGACTTCCATAGTTATAAAATACACAGAGACCATACATTTATCAGACCAGACCGAACCAACAAATTTCAGACCAAAAGAACACATCCTTGTACTCACTTTTGTGTGAGATTTTTTTGTCTGTAAATCCCGTTTACAGACAAAACAAATATATTTTTGTCTGTGATAAAAACATGTATATTTTGTCTGTGAACGGGATTAACAAACAAAAAATAGTCTTAGACAATGATGAGTATAAGAGGGTGGGTACAAACAAAAATTTCCATATAGATAAACATCATGCATGTTTGGTCTATGTTTTCTTTCCTTTTCTCCCATTTTCAATCAGATTCACATCTACTATCACCATTTTCAGGGGCGGAGCTAGGCGCCAACTAGGTCCCGGCCCTCCCTAAATAAAAAAAAAATATACCTTATAATTTTAATGTAAAAAATATGTATAACTTTTTTCAAAAATATTCTTGTACCGGCCCAGTACCTTGGTTTCGCCTCTCTGCCTCTCTCCGTTTTCCTCACTTCATCTTCATCTTCACTATCTCCATCATCTTCCATTTCCATCTACCTCACCATATGCATCACCTCTCATCTTCATCAGATCTCCCGGCTTTGCAGGAAACAGGTCCGGATGATGATGCCACTCAAACTATCGGATATCCGCAACATGATCTGGAAAAATTGAAACTGCCTGAAGTGGATGAAAATGCACTTCCTTCGGGAAAAGTGGAAGAGCAACTGTCAAGGCAACTGGAGGATCAGTTAAAAGTCACAACTACTACAGATGAGGCGAAGAGGGAGTCTGCTGTGATCGCAACAAAAGAGAAAGTACTAAAGAGGTTTCAGTGGGGGAAGGAGGCAGTTAACAGGACTCAACCAGAATGGGTTCAAAATTCATTTGCACTAAAGTTTAGCATTGAACGGGTAGGCATAGTATTGAAATTCCGAGATGAAGACAAGAGGGGATGGAAGGAAAAAGGGGGCTCTATGTACAAACCTCAGCATGGTGTGGAAGGATTGAAAGGAAAGGCACTTACCAGTAAGGTTGGAGTAGGTACAAATCGTCAAGTCTTGCTTTTATGCTGTTGGTATGGTTTCCAGGTTTGGAATGTGGAAGAACATGGTGGTGTTCAAAATTCAGTTTCCAAGCAGGATGATATTGTTTGATTCATGAAAAGCTCACCCAATCCAATTTTGTCAAAGCAAAATATGCATGAAATTGCTAATAGTTGGCCATTGTTGATAATATGTGCTGATGTTCGAATTATGGGTTGGTTCTATTACTTGAGATTTCACTCGTATGTACATCAGGTGAAGTTCATATCAGTTGTTCATTCTGTTAGATGCAGTTCTAGAGTTGTTAATGTCCTACCAGCAACTCCGATACACTGTGGTAATGCTGCAGTTTTAGAGATGGATGAGGTGAGGTATTCTTTAGGAGTAATTTCTGAGGAAATTAAATGGCACTGGGATGAAAATGTTCTCAATATCAAGGTTGGGACCAACGGTGTTACAGGACTATCAATTGTGCCGAAAGGAGGCAGGGTTAACATGGTTTATAATCATGAAGTGGATGCTGTACTTGCAACAACAGACGGGTCTCTTGTCAAATATCAAATAGAGGGATGCCAGCACTTGGCTGTGGAATCTCCAGGAGTGCATGAACTAAAATTTCAGAGATCTGTTTTATCAAGTGAAGGAGCAGTTCAGGGAGTGAGGTGTGACCATGCCAAAGCATTAT